GAGAAAATCCTGATAGTCTTGGCTATCAATTAAATCGGTTGATTGATCAAATGACTGGTAATAATCGGGAGGTGAATAATTATTATCAGAGAAATCTTCGTATTGGTAGCTTTCATTTAAAGCTGAAGTATAGTCATTAGTATAGTCAGGCTCATAGTTAACGAAATGAGCTCTGTGTCTATCGTTCGAAAAATTAGGATTCTTATGTATTACAGAAGGGCGTACTTGTGAATTATTTTGATTTGGTGAGAATTGAGGTCTTTGTTGGTCATTGGGTCTATTGTTTTGGAAATTATTATTTGAACTGAAAGTTGGTCTTTGAAAGCCATTGTTTTGAGCATTATTGAAGTTTTGATGGTTATTAAAATTTCGAGAATTATTAAAATTATGAGAGTTGTTGGAATTCTGCGAATTATTTTGGGAATTTTGTCGAGAACGACATTCATTGTACGAGTGGCCCATACGTCCACAAAATGTGCATCTATGTGGTTGACGGTTTGGTCTTCTAATGGGTTGATTATTTTGATTGGGTTTTGGAGGATTGGATCTATTGATTTTTTGTATTTCGAAATAAGATAATTGTAACTCTCGTCTGATGCGGACTTGAGCTTCAAGAAGGTCTTTTGGATTACTAGCACGAATAATATGGGCGATTTTTGGATCGAGGCCGGTCATTAAGGTATTGAGCGCCATTGATTCAATTAATACAATTTGGGCCTGTTTTTCTACAGCAGAGAGGCTAGATTTCTGTATATTAGCGTGCATTTTTGCATTAAGGACTTGGAGACGATTAAGGAATGTAAGAGCCGATTCATTTGGAAGTTGTTTGACTCTTTGTAAATCTTGTATCAAAGAAGATAAGTCTCTAGTGTCTCCAAAATGAGAGGTAAGAAGCTGTTTAATTTCTAGATACGATAATGGATTTCTTGAACTTATAAGTTGCGCTGCTCTTCCGCGTAATTTATTTTTAATGTGAATTACTAATAGTTGTTTTTGATCGCGCGTAGACATATTGTAGGCATAATCACAAGCATTTAAAAATGTGTGTAGAAATATCTGATCGCCTTCAAATTCGGGTACGATAGAAAATATTTCGGATAATTTGTAAGGTTCTATTTCAGGCTGGTTCTCATTACGAGAAGCGGGACGAGAAATGTTGCCGTTATCATTCATGGTGGTTAATAAATCAATAAACGAAATAGAAATAAAAATATAAGATAATGGATTAATTAACTAAATAATTAATCAAATATAAATATCAAATAATAAAACAAAATGTAAATATCAAAATAATAAATCGAAAATGTAAATATTAAAATAATAAGTCAAAATATAGGAAAAGTATTTTTCTAAGACAGTGTGTGATTAGCAGAATAATCGACACAGGTAATCGTTTAATAAAATAAAAATAAAAAGTTGACGATTTACAGAATAATCGCCAAAAGTTTATAATTAGTAAAGTAATTATCAAAAAATATTCCAATTCGGCATAAAATTATTAATTAAATGAATATTTCATATTGGAATATCGAACAGTATATGGTAATAAATGGTATTAAACAAAAATTATATACGAGATGATTCAGTATTAGACTTACATTAGTTCCAAAAACATCTAGTCGTCTTGTTCTCGACAGCTAATCTACCAGGGGCTTCACTTGGTGTTCCTTCCGTAGATGTCTACAAAGTTAGGACGGCACTGCTTTTTGGAGTTTTCTGGTTCTTTTTCTGATTAAAGGATTGGAATCCACCGTTGTCAGTTAGGTTCTCCTTGTTCTGCCAACGTTTCCAGATCCTACTGCGACTGCGCCACTTTTTATATCACGAAACACTTTTTTGACTTTTTAAAAAATTTATTAATTACAAAATACAAGTTACGTGGTAAAAATGAATGAAATATAAAATATAATGAGTGAACTACAAAAATATACTGAATAATGAATTAAGAGCGACAAGCGGTTTTATAATATTAGTAAATGCTGACTCAGTGGGAACGTGTAAAAAGCTTGGGTCCCGCTGACTCTGCTGGTACTGCATTTGCAAGGATCCTTATCGGCTCAGGTTGTTGGAAGTGGAACCTGATACCCTGGGAATCGTCGTGATAAGGAACATCGGTTGGTACAATGCATATAACATATATATATATATATATATATATATATATATATATATATATATATATATATATTATATATATATATATTATATATATATATATATATATATATATATATATATATGTCTATATCTTATATATATTAATCTATATACTTATATATATATATAATATATAAATAAATATATATATATATATATATATATATATATATATATATATATATATATATACATGGTGGTCTTTAACTAATTGTACAGAAATGTAAATGAAACCGTAGATTCTACACTTTAAAATATTACGATTGAAGCCAAATTGCTTTAATAAAATGTTGATATTAAGAAAGATACAGGTTGTTAAAGTATGAATGCATAATTTAATATAGCTGATAGAGGGCGCCACATATGTGGCAAACATTTGCACTTAACTCTTTTGCTCTTGAAGTTACCATTTTTTTTTTTATAAAAACATAAAAGAATATTATTTTAATTATTATTTTAAAGATTGTTATTTTAACAAAAAAAGGTATACTTGATTACTTTAAAACTAGTTTAGTTTAAAACTAATAACTTTAAAACTCAACAGTTTTTAAGGTAATCGCATTTTACAAATCGAGTACATAATTCTGATTTAACGTAATTACTCCGAACAACGAAAGAAAATTGAACGAAAAACATCAGTACTTCTGAATTTTCTTGTAAAATGCCTTAAATAAAGTTAATAGTTAACGAAATATTAAATAAAATAAATATATCAGCAAGATAATAATATTTAATAGTAGGATTTAAGAAAATAACGGAATAATTGGATTTTACATCAAAGATTTTACGTTTTGTATTAAATTAAAGTCATAATCAAAATATTTTATTTATAAACCAAATTAAGAAATATTTAAACTAAATAACATTAAACTTTTTGTCAAAGTAAGTGTTCGATATGTCCACCATTTATTTTAATTCATTTGTCAAAACATTTTATAAAAGATTGTCTCATATTAAATAGCATCATTGGTTCTGAAGAAACTACTACAGTATTTATAATAAGTATTATAAGTATAATATATAATAAATATAATAATGAAGTATTAGTTTGGGATTTTTATGAATTAAATAATTATATTAATATCTTACCATATGGCCAAGGAATATGACTACCACGAACAATGCAGCGTTTAGGAAAGTCGTATTTAATTATGTTCTCACTGTCCCCTCTCTATAATGTGGTGGTATACCATCTTACATAAACCACATATTTCGCCTTAAGTTTGACGACAACTCGTCCAATAAATCAATAAAATCATTTTATAAAAATATCCGTAAAAAATAATTACAAATGGTACCAAACCATCCGATATGCTTTTTAGACATGAATTTTAAATAAACCTATGGTTTGGAACCATTGGTAATTATTTTTTACGGACATGCGAATTGCCTTGTAATTTGAATGGTGAAATTTATTTACCTTTTTTATAAAATGATTTTATTGATTTATTGGAAGAATTGTCATCAAACTTAAGGCGAAATGTGTGGTTTATGCAAGATAGTACACCACCACATTATAGAGAGAGGGCAGTGAGAACATACTTAAATACAACTTTCCTGAACGTTGGATTGTTCATGGTAGTCATCTTCTTTGGTCATGTGGTGAGATATGAGTATAATTATTTAATTCATAAATCCCAAAAAAATACCTATTACCATACTTATAATACTTATAATAAATAATGCAACAGTTTCTTTAGAACCAATGATGCTATTTGTATGAGACGTTCTTTTATGGAATGTATTGACAAATGAATTGAAGAAAATGGAGGACATATCAAACACTTACTTTGATAAAAAGTTTAATATTATTTAGTTTAACTATTTCTTAATTTGGTATATAAATAAAATATTTAAATTGTGACTTTAATTTATCACAAAACGGAAAATGTTTTATGGAAAATTCAATTACTCTGTTATTTTGTCAAATCCTACTACTACTAACTTTATTAAAAGCATTTTATACCAAATTCAGAAGTATTATTGTTTTTGTCTAATTTTTCTTTCGTTGTCTGGAGTAAATTGCATTAAATCTGAATTATCTAGGGAATTTGTAAAATGTGATTATTTCGAAAATTGTTGAGTTTTGAAGTTATTAACAAGTATACCTTTTTTTGTTAAAATAATGTATCTTTAATGTTTTTAATCACAAATACCGGTAACCTAAAGAGCAAAAAAGTTAAGTGCAAATGTATGCATCAAATTATAATTCCCGATGTTCCATAGTATCAGTTATGAAATTTGATACATAATTGTTCACAAACATGAAAGTTACAGCGAAAATTAAAATTTTAAATTTGCACTTTAACACCCTGTATCTTTCTTAATGTCGACATTTTATTACAGGAATTTAGCTTAAATCGTAATATTTTAAAGTGTAGCATCTATGGTTTCTTTTATACAATTACTTACGGACCACCCTATATATATATATATATATATATATATATATATATATATATATATATATATATATATATATATCTGGGGAAGCACGTATCGTCCTTCTCAAAAATACATAAATACGTAGCGGGTACGTGAATAATGAACCGCTTGATTCGACTAACTGTAAATGTTAAACTACCTAATTTATAAAGACAGGGATTATAATCTACAAACTTTCCCCAGAAATATGTAAAGCTGATAAACATTTTAATCTTTTAATAGATTTCTGATAGGTAAAATTTGCCCAAACTTTAAGAATTACCAATAAGAACCTAAAATGATAAAGTAAAATCAAGAAACAACATGATGTAAATTATAATGAGATGAAACATATATATATATATATATATATATATATATATATATATATATATATATACAAAAAAAATTATACTCACTTAAAAAATTGTAGTAATATGGAACGCATTTGCAAATTTTATAAAAATATTTGGCTTCACATTCAGTCAGACAACTTGAATCACTATATTCTTTAAATGAATCCAACTGATGTTCTTCAGAAAATACACAATCTCTATGACTAATAGGTAATAACTGTACTGCATCACTACAAGTCATTTTTGATCCAAATAGATGAAGAAATGCTATATTTCCAAGAGAAACCATTTTAGTTGTTGATTGCGATCCGGGGTACTCTGTGGGATCATTTATTATTACCTGAAATATATTTATGTGAAAAAATCAAAGAATAGATAAAGATTATTGATTTTTATTAAAAAAAACTAGTTTGACAAATGAACATTTTGGTCATAATAAAACATTTTGAGTCAGTTCAATATCTTATTATTATTCATTTCTTTATTTCGATCTTTTATTCCAAATGATCTTCATAAACATCAAAATAAGCTTATTGTGCTATGTCCAATGATGCTATAAAATTATATAGCGAAACGTTTTCAATAAATAGATGAAGTAGCCATCATCTTTGTCTTTTTTCTCCAACTTTTGACCGAAATACCCGCCGCTCTTCGAGTGATCCTTAATTTATATATATATATATATATATATATATATATATATAAATATATATATATATATATATATATATATATATATTATATATATATATATATATATATATATATAAAATCTAAAAATCCTTTATAACCTATTCATTGAAAACTCATACCCAAGTATACTACTGAAGAAAATTTTGTTTAACACTCCACAAACTTTAACTAGTCATTTAAGAAACGAGGAAAATATGTCTTTATCACAAGATAGAATTGGACCTGTAGATCGTTTACAAAAACAAACGACAATAAAATATGTATCCCTTCCATACATTAAGGACATTGGACATAAACTTAGTAGAATTTTTTCATCACTTAATAATATCAAAATTGCATATAAAACGGTACTTACATGTAAAAAAAGTTTTTTCTAAACTTAAAGACCAATCCTCACTCTTGTCTTTAACGGATGTTGTTTATTGTATACCGTGCGGATCATGTTAACAAGTATACTACGGTCAAACATCAAGATGCCTTAAAGACCGCATTACATCGCACAAGTCTGATAATAGATTACATCCAGAAAGAAGTGCATTGGGTGAACATGCATTTAAAAATGGGCGTCGGATAGATAACAATAACATCAAAGTAGTAGAACTGGAAAGTAACATCACCAAAAGACTTTTTCTTGAAATGGCCTACATTTGCCAAAATAACAATGCAATGAATCATAGAACGAATATTGGTCATCTAAATGAATTGTTCTCCTATAAAAGTTGTCTTTTTTTAATTGTTTTTAAATTTAGTAATTTTTGTATACACACAGATACTGGGGTCATACAAAACAATATCATATTCAATTGTAATATTTTTATAATTATGACCTTATTTCTTTAGGTTAATTTAATAAATTTTGTGTTGAAACATTGACAATTTAAAGTTTCACTTCTTTATGATATTAATAAATATAAAATAATTTATATTGCCACAATACATCTAATGATAGGCCTATAATTTGTTGTACTAGTATCTAATAATAAAAACCACTGAATTGTCTTGAGAAAAAACTAATGACGATATAATAAAATTAAGAATAAAAATGTCAGAAATGTGTGTATAATAAGTAAGTGTTTGAGATTGTAAAGCAATTTTTAAAAATTTTAAATATGACTAATATGGAATAAGTTTTATGTAAAAATATGACAGACTGTGATAAGTTTTATCGACATTGTAGAAAATCATTGATGATCCAACCTCATTAAGTTTGTAAGTAGCGAATTTTTAATTAATTATACAAACTTGTAACAAACTATTCATCACATTTGTAGCTCCCCGATAAAGGATATAACCATGTCCGAAAACTCGGAATAAAAATTTAAAAGAGTACACGTATCATTTTTATTGCTGCTAACCCAATATTGAAAATTTACTTCCTTGTTGTCAGCAACAAATACTTCTAGTTCATATATATATATATATATATATATATATATATATATATATATATATATATATATATATATATATATATAGTATATATATATATACATACATACATATATTAATATATATATATACATATATATATATATATATATATAATATATATATATATATATATATATAAGAAATACTGGATATTATTGTCTGTCGATATAAACAAGTAACACAGTTTATTAGGGTTGCAGTCAGAATATTGGCCGGGATCTTGAAAAAGAGTGTTTTTTAACATCCCGGCCAATATTCTGACTGCAACCCTAATAAACTGTGTTATTTGTATATAATATATATATATATATATATATATATATATATATATATATATATGTATATATATATATATACATATATATATATACATAAAGAAAAAAAACTTCTATCCTTCCTCTTCAACATGAGGTTTTACAAGTCTATAGGATTCACATTTGTGCTATTTTCCCTATTTGTTCGAAAACATTGTTCTATAACTTTTCTCTACGAAGTTTTAGGTGTAATGATAAATTTATTAGAAAGAAAAATGAATTGCCTATAAAATGTTTTATTGTAGAAGGCTAGGACTAATTTTAAGTAAAATACGGTTCTCTTCAAATTTTTCTACTTCTACCGATGTTTGTTTTTATTTTATCTTTTAATTTTTTTAAATTTTTTTCTTATAAATTTAGGTATCGACAGTACGAAATAAAAAAGAAAGCTAATTTTCTGTACTTTAAATTAGTCTATTGAAAAATATTATAGGACTAATAGTAACTAAGATATGGTTCGTCAAAGTCTGATGCTTGCAACGATTTGTGTATACATAAATGTACAAAGAAAGAAGTTATGAGTAAAAATTAACAATATTTTAAATAGTTAGTAAAAATCGTTCTTCTTCTTCTTCTAGTTCCATGACCGTTATCGATCGTTGGATATCATGTTGGCTACCATATTCGCTATCGTGACTTTATTGACAGCAGCTCTAAATGACGATGTAGTTGATTTTCCATACCATTGCCTTAGATTTTTCAGCCATGATGTTCTTCTTCTACCAGGACCACGATTACCTTGGATCTTGGATCGTTGCAAGCATCAAATTTTGACGAACCATACTGTTAGTCGTGGTATATTTTACAATAGACTATTTTAAAGAACTGAATTTTTTTTTTAATTTTTTTAATATCGAAAATATTTTACAATCTGTTTCACAAAAAAAACAATAAATAAAATTTTTTGTCGTTACAATGCCAGAGAGATGTAAGGTCCAATGACCAAAGATTTTATATTTATATTTATATAAAGACCAACAAACATCAAAAAAGAATAAAAAAAAGGATAGAATACAGTCAATACACGACTGATTTATGCATGAATAGCCCACTTTGTACAAGATTTGTCAAAGGGACGAGAATAATAAGAAAAGAAGTCAGTCATAGGATTTCATTTTAGATCCAGTACTGTAAAAATTTAAGGTTCCTCTTTGTCATTAAAGAACACGTCAAAATTTCTGAGCCAAAGTATTGAAAATAAACGAATATGGTTGCTAACATTGTTAATTTGTCTAGCGAAAAACCATCAAGCTTTAAAAGCTAACCGAGTTCTCACTGCAGAAGGTGAGTAGATAAAAGAGAATCACTTGTAGCGTGATTCTGACAGAAGGTCGTCAAAGTGGTTGCTGACCCATCGCCTAGCGAAAAACCATCGAGCTTTAAAAGCACAGCGAGTTCTCACTGTAAAAGGTGAGTAGATAAAAAGAATCACCTGTAGTGTGATTCTAACGAAAGGCCGTCAAAATGGTTGGATTCATCATCATTATCAGTGGCATTACAGCTCGTTATGAGCCAAAGCCTTCTTCAGAACAATCTTCCATTCGCCCCTGTCTCTGGCAACTCTTCTCCATGCTTTAAGTCCGATGGATTTTACCATCGTCTATGTTATCTTGTACCTAAGTTTTCATCTTCTTTTGGATCGTCTTCCAACTGGTCCTCTTTGGTCGAAATTTTTTCTGATCGTTGCATCTTCATCTCGCCTAATTACATGTCCTATCCATAGAAGGAATGCTAATTTAATAAATTTTACAACTTCAGGTTCCCAATATATATATATATATATATATATATATATAATATATATATATATATATATATAATATATAATACAATATATATATATATATATATATATATATATATATATATATATATATATCTATATATTGATTAATGCCATATATTTATTATTCATATATATTACATAATTTATTTTATAACATTTTTTAAATTTTTTTGGTGCTGATGTTTGTGAATTATTTTTATTCTACTTGTATCATACTTTCCAACTCCTTCTGTGCTTCTTGCGTGTTAATTAAAACACATTTTTTTTTATTTCTTTTGTACCTATCGGTACTTACCCTTTTTATCGATATTTTCACTTGTTTAAAACCGTTCGCTTCTTTAAATCTAGATCTCCTCTTCGTGTTGGATTGTTAATTTATGTTTGCATTGTCTTATCTTTCGTTTTTTTTCGTTTTTCGCGCCATACTCGGCATTCTCTAGATTCAAGGAGCCCTACGAAATGCATTCAAGTATCAAAACCACACACCTTCATTCTTATTCCAGGGTAGATTCTCATATATCTTACAACCTCGTTTTAATTGAATTTTTTGTCTTCTTCTACTCATTCTCGATCATTGCTGTCTTCTTTCACTATATATTAATAAGGTAACTAATTAAGGTGTTAAATGTGTCTTGTGTTCTGGTTCTCACCATTCATATAAATGTTTGTATTTTTCGTGACTAAATGGCTTCAATAACTTTTCTTGTTGGTTAATCCACATGATTCTTGTGTATGCGGCCTGATTTCACCTTATACGAAGCGACGAATACACGGTTTGCGAATCACGGCCTCGCTTTTTTCTTCGTTTGTTAACCAACCTTCAAAATTATCTTGTTCCTTTGGAAAACCACTTCTTCAAATATGAACATTTCTAATTTGCTACACAACCACATTTAATGTCCTCGTCTATTTCTTTCCACATAGTTTATACATATCAAAAATGTTTTCGCATCTTTCTTAGAATTCGTATCCTGCTAGATATAGGCTCCACAGCCAATTTTATTTCAGTGATCCTCCCAATCACGCATTTTATTAATCAGATCCTATAGACATACTCATAGGTATACATACTCATACTCATACTCATAGGAATACTACAGAAAAGGAAAAGGCAGT